CGAGGACGCGCCGCGCTGCCCGCGGGGACACGGCGCCCACGCGAGCGAGGCCGGCGAGCGCTGCCCCGCTCGGCCCCTGTCCGGCCGCAGCACGTGCGAATCCTGGCCGGTCGGGGCAAAGAGAAGTGCAGCCCCGGGACGCCACGTGAGGTTGCAAGAGGCGCCCCAGGACGCAGCGGCTCTTTGCCCCACGCTCCTCGGCACGGCAAAGCAAGCTGGGAGCTTAAAATGACCCGGGCGCACGGTACAGATGTGGGGGAAGCACAGCCTGTCAGCAGGTTTGCAGCGCACAGCAGGGCTCCATCTCCTGCCACAGGATCGATGCCGGGGGCAGCCCGGGCACGTGGCGAGCCCGGCGCCCCGGCAGCCCCGTGTGCTGCGCCGGGTCTGCAAAGCAAACCCGGGTTTGTGCTCAGCAGCCACCCACGAAGCCAAGAGCCGGCGCCGCCGCCGCAGTGACCTGGGCCTGCTGCCCCATCTGCTGCATGTCCCGGAGCCCCTCTCTTCCGCCGGGCTGTCAGGAGCTTCGGGAGAGCCGTGTCCTCCCCGGCACGTTTGCCAGGACACGGCCCCACGCTCTGCGCCTCCGGGCGGTCGGCACGTCCCCGGCCAGCGCTGCGCGCAGCGAGGAGCGAGGGGCCACTCGCGCGGCAGGAGGCCAGGGCCGCTCCGAGGAGCTGAGGCCAGAGGCTGGAACAGCCTCTGCAAGGGGAGCAGCAGCCCCCGGCAACGCGAGGCCGCTCGTGCCGCGGGATCCGGCGACACGAAACCTGCCGGGAAGCAGCGCCCTCCGTGCAGCCGCGCTCGGCACACGGGGCGGCCTCGAAACGCAGCCCTTGGACGTGGGAACAGGAAAGAAACCGCCACCAGCTCTGCCATTCCGTGCCACTGGCCGTAGCTCCGACAGAGGCTCTGCACCCACCTTCGCCTGCTGAGCAAGCACGCGGCACACTGGCAAACAGCTTGCATTTTCCTCCAGGAACAAGGTGCTCCAGTTGGCTTGCACCTTGGGCATTAATCCCTGACGGCGACCGCAGGCTGCACTGCCCGTCAGTGCCCGTAGCTAGGGCCAGCCACCAAGGCGCCACTTGAAGAGCGCTCTGAAACTCCTCGGCTGCAGCAGGAGCCTGTCAAGAGTCTTCAGCAAGGAATTTCCTTTGCTTCATTTCAGCAACTGCTTTACAGCCTGGGTAATTTACAGACAATGACATTAGCCACGTACTTAGGCTCAAGCCCCCTTAATCCGCAACAAATTCTACTTTAAATCAAAGCTTTTTAAGCTTCTTCATTCCTTGTGCTGGAAGCCTGGCTGTGACACCCTCCAGTGCTTGGTTCTCCACTAAAGCCCTTGCCCACTCTGCTGTCCATCAGCCAGTTCCTGCCCGTGACACCTCTCCATTACCCGCTGCTGTCCCCCTTGGCCTGACGGAGTCCAGACTACAAAGCTCAGCCTAGCTGTGGAAGGGGAGGCACGAAGCCTCCCCCCGGCCCTGCCCTGCAGCCAGCTGCACGCGCCGGGGCTGCCGCTCCGCGCGCGCTGCCCGTCTCCGCGCCACGTCCCTCCGTCCCTGCCGGGACTCCGCACCTCTGTGACGGAGTGGCCCAAGCTGCAGGACACGGGGAGCATCAGACACCGGACAGGGGCTTCCGTGGGGAAATCCCGCGGTGTCCGGACCGGAGCGGGGGGCGCAAACGGTGCCGGGAGCGACGTGCTGCCCTTCCGCAGCTACCGGCTGCTGCTGCGGTCACCGGAGCGCCGGCCGGGCCGGGCAGCCCCACCAGCCACTGCCAGGGACAGGAAAGGGAGTGCAACTTCACTGGCCTTTATCTGCTTGAAAAGGTTGCGCTTTTCCCCTTCTCCCCCAAGCTGGGGCTCCCGGGATGCTCCGGAGCCAGTGGAAGAGATCAGGCGCCCCCAGATTCACAGCCAGGGGCATGATCCGGGCAGTACTGGATTCAAAATCCATCTTTGTCTAGATTCCCATAATACGAGGCGTCTATTCACACACTGGCGCCCGGTTCTTTACATGAGTGGGGACATAAAAGCAGGCCGCGCTCCTTTAAGAGCAGACAGGCTGGTATCCCACGGGGAATAAGGTCTGCATGGAAAGCGCCTCTCAGCGAGTGCTGAGCACGGGCTTTGCGTGGGGAAGCCAGGGATTGGGGACAGAAGGGACCTCTCTCTCCTGCAGCCGCTGAAGCGGTTGCCTCCCACAACCCGTGTGCACGGGAATGTCTGGAAGGGGAAGCAGACTCAGCTGTAACATCCTGACTCTGGAAATCTTTCCGCTCCCGTTCGCAGCTCCAAAATAGCCAGCCTGGAGAGGACAGCAAGTGCCTGCAGTGCCCCAAGGACGGCCCGCCTCCGGCACGAGCGCCGCGCGCCTCCACCTCACCCGGGAAGGAGGCTCTCCATGCATCCCGGAATGCGGTGCAGGATGCATGGAGTGACTCCTGAACACCTCTGCGACCCCGGGATACCCTGAACACCTCTGCGACTCCGGGCTGCCTGGGGCTGCAGGGGTCTCTCCCAGCCTCTCCCGGGAGACGGGAAGCGGGCGGCACCGTTTGCGCCCGGCCCCTCCTGCGGGACACACGGATGCAGCCGGGCAGAGCCCCCACAGACCCGTACGGAGCGACTCGCCTTCTGCTGCAGTCAGGCGGGGAAGCCCCAGAAACTCCGGATTTCCACCTAAACTTGGGACACAGTAAATCTGAAGAGCAATAAAGAGAAAGGCGGGAAGGGAGCTTTTCCTGAGCATTGCTGCGTATCCCAAGGCACAAATTATAATGCTCTGAAATCTTCCCTTCATTGTGCCCTCGACAGCAAAAAAAACCCATCAGATCCTTAATCCAATTTAACCTGGGGCATTTTTAGCACATTTTCCCTTCATCTTCACAGGGTATCCAGCACACAGCCCGAGCACAGTTTTAGTATTCCCGTGATTTGAAACTGCAGCTATCACTTAGATCACGGTGCACAAAGCAGGAGGGCTCCAACACTCACCCGGTCCCAGACTCTCTCCAAAGCCAGGGCCTCCCAGAACAAAATCTAACGATATTACAGTCATCCCTTTCCGTGAATTAACCGCATCCTTCAGCTGCTACAAGGCTTCTCGCATTTTAAGGGATCACTGGAGAAATACAAATCCCACACGCACTTGGGTGTAAATTAAGAGCTACTGCTCAGCGCCGGAGCTTACGGCTGCCTTCCAGCCAGCTGGTGGCCTGGAAACGGGGTTAGGCTCTTGCAAGAAACGAAACCCACGTTCTCCTCGGAAACGCTTTGCTGTTCTGTGGAAACAGCCCCCGGCAGCCCCTCCGTGTGCAGACAGGGCAGCCCCTGCGTCTGGGCAGCGAGGGCCGCCTTCCCCACGCTCCCCACACGTTCCCCACGCTCCCCATGTTCCCCACACGTTCCCCATGTTCCCCACGCTCCCCGCATTCCCCACGATCCCTGTGTTCCCCACGTCTGCCTTCGCCCGCCGCAGCACCTCAGCCCTCGCGCCGCCGCTCAGGGGAAACCCCCAGATCCAAACTCAGGCCTCTGCCCTGCCAGGTGGAGCCCAACTCAACGCAACATCTGGTGAAAGCTTTGGCTGTTTAGAGCATTGCCCCCGACACCCGGTGTATCCGCGCTGCAAACCCCGCTCGGCAAAGGCCTGAACGCTCCGGGGCAGAAATGAAGGTGCTGCAGCAAACTCCCCTGCACGTAACACGATAAATTCCAGCTGCATCTGGGCCTCGGCAGCTGGAGAGGGACAGACCCCCCTGGTCTGTCCTTACTCCTGCGCCTTGCCCTCCGCTCCCTTCTCGTCCTGTTTTAGGCAGTTCTCTAGGACACGACTTGGTGTCCGAAGGGACACGGCTCCACCACTGCGGTGAGTGATTACTCGACAGGATGTTTTCCTCGGCCTTTAACTCCCTTCCCGATGATGCACATACCTCGTTCCAGCCATCACACCCTGGACCAAAACCCGAGGCTGATCCTCGTCACAGCAGCCCTTGGTTCCTTTCCACCTCCAGCCCCTGGGTGCAGCCCTGGCCCTGTCTCAGCTTTCGGGGAGACCCCCCTG